AAGAAATAAAAATAGTTGTTACTCTTAATTTTGGTTTTATTTACTCTTGAAACAAAACACTTTCGGGGACCCTGAAAGTACATCTAATTTATATGTGTATATTGAAGTTAGTTCTTCCCCCTGTAACGTCCCCTTCTCTTCATACCTTCACGTAAATATAATCTATTGTTTTGTACTGGGTTATTTCTTACAACGTAGTGCTTGAAACTTGAGGCACGAGAATAGTAGAAACTTATCCCTTGAGAAAGGCGGAAGCCGAAACGTTGGGTATTGATACAAATGTTATTTCGGATTTTGTGGTCTAAACTATAATAACTATTTATAAGTTAAAAATTATAAATATTTCCAAATAATTTGTTTTCAAACATCAGTTATTAACTTGGATTAATGAGGCAATTAGATACTAAAAAGTATTTATATAAAAAATCTACTTGCAGGGAAGAACAGGTGGACGTGGCCTTGGTCGAGGTCTGGGGGGCATCCTTGGACAGTCTATTTGGCGCCCTCTGATGAGAAAACCTCTTCCTGGCGCTCTCTCATCGGATCGAAAGTAAATTTTCTTCTCGAATTTTGGGAAGTCAAACGTCCCTTTATAAAATATTCAGTTAATAAACTTAGATGCTAGAATTATTTTCAAGACTGTCATATAACTCACGAACAAAACCATACTTATAAAGTAATATTAGTATTACTTTGAGACACAATGAATGTCGTCGTTAGTTTTGTTTGCCCTTTCAGTAATGTGATTATTTGTTTCTCTAGCCTTAGATTGGTAGATGCATTGTTGTTTCCTCGCATATGTAATACATTTATTCTTTGTAACCAGAACAAACGATTGATTATTGTTTTACTAATACTATTTGCAATAAACGTAGAAAAATAAAAACCTTTCATTTCAGCCAACATTTTGCCGTTGTGGCTTCTTCAAGTCTAGTAGCACAGGAACTAATAATTCTGGTAATACTAACCCTAACGAACCCGAAATAGCAAAACATTTGCTGAAATAGAAAGTTATTATTATTATTATCTGGAGAGTAAAGTTCTTATTATAACTTTATTGCCAACATTTGTAACTTCTTCCAGTATACACTACAAGTTCTGAAAAACAACAGTCTATTTGATACTATTATTTCTATATCAAAATGATATGAACGATGTAAGCCTAGTTTCTGTATACATCTGTGTCAAACGGTAAATTCACAATTCGCTCGGCTAGGTAATACGATTACGAATACAAACACAATATTTAATCTTCTTTATATTCTATAAAACATTATAATGTCAAATAATCTTGGGAGATTATTAACATCCGATTTCATAACGTTTCAAACCGAAACTTTTTTTTTTCAATTAATAAACCACTCTTTCTATATGACAAAGAAGCCAAAATGTAACAACAAATAGCAAGCAGGAGACGATGTTAAAAATTACTTATATTTTACTCTATATTGCGTTAAACAACTTGGAATTCTTAAGTACTATTTCGACTCAATATATCATTTGGAAGACTAGCTCGCTTAATAATTGTTATTCCTGTTTGTTATAAGTTGAAGACATAAAATATATTCTCCTTTTTTTTTAGTCTTACGATATGATATTTAAAGCAATTCCGACTGAAAAATGCAAAGTATTTTAAATGGAAATTAGTTAAGACTAAAATGTAATCAAAATTACATAGTTCGGTTATAATTTGAAAATTCTAAAAGGTCGTTTCAGTTGAAAGTTTGAAGATTAGTTTACAACTTTTTCTACATTATTATTCGCACATGCGTAACACGATTGATGTACTTGGGACATATTTACTCTTTAGCATTGAATAACCAATGTTCTACAGGTCATCATCATTATTACAAACACACTTACTAATGCTGTTTCTTGGTAAACTTCCACATAACCGTTCATCGCCGACAGCCAGATAATCAAATTGACAGTCTGCGCTGGGTTCCAAATCAAAGCGAACCAGTTCGAGTTCTAGCTGGCAGACACTCTCACCGAAACGTTTGATAGTGTAGCGACAATTCAAATTATTCGAATAGGGATCGGGAAAATTAACGCTTTGCAGTTCAAATACTGGACGATTAATGATGTCATCGCAGTTAGTTGGTGAGATGGGAGGTCTTCTTGGAGGAGGAGGTGGTGGACGCGGGGGTAAAGGCCTGTCAGGACCCGATAGTTTAGGGTATGGAGGAGGTGGTGGAAAATGTTCACGACAATCTGTCTGTTGGACGTGTATCTTAAATCCTGGTCTGGATTCGGCCGAATCAGAGTGGAATCTCATTATAAACTCGAAATTCCGGAACTCGTATTCCCCTGACATATTACAAAAAAAAAGAAAAAAAGAAAGTTACCAAAGAGCTAATACTAGAAAAATGAACAAAAAATGTTTGTCATTATGTAGCATATTATTAAATATAATGATTTCTGATGCGTTATTATCATTTAAAGGCAGATGTGCACGTACTGCTCACGTTTTTAATTTATCATCAAATCAGATGTGCACGTATTGCTCATCTTTTTCCTCAGTATTATATACTGAAAAGGAAAACGATCCTGCAGCTACAGTTGTAATATAAACAATTTATTACATTTGTTATATATATATATGAACTTACTCAGTTTATCCTCTATACGAATGAAAACCAAAAAAACTATCCATGTTTTTATTTATCCACTGTGGAGGAACGACATTTGTATATATCCAAAAATTCTCAAATTCTTACAGAAATTCACAAAATTGTGAAAATTGAGGCAACTATTTCTTTATAGTAATGATTTATAGGAGTTTATTTTTTATTTTTACTTTTTTTTTCATTCTGAATCTAACTTTAAATGATTAAAAATTCAGTAAAAATAACGTACTTGAAAAGCTTATAAATTTTTACATACTTTCACTAAGAAACAGGAAAAGAGGAAATTTCTATTCAAATCTTTACAAATGTTAAATACCATCCGCGGTACGAAACTTACTCAAGAATAGAAAAAATATTAAAATCTTTACAAAGGTTAAATACCATCCGCGGTACGAAACTTACGCAACAATAAAAAAAGTAATAATTTCTATCAAAATCTTTACAAAGGTTAAATACCATCCGCGGTACGGAATTTATTCAACAATAAAAAAAGTAATAATTTCTATTAAAATCTTTAGAAAGATTAAATACCATCCGCGGTACGAAACTTACTGAACAATAAAAAGAGTAATAATTTCTATTAAAATCTTTAGAAAGTTCAAAGGCTAAATACCCTCCGTGGCACGGAACTTACTGACAGAACTTCTTGGTAAGATACCACACACAGGTTGACCATCAATTTCCAGGTAGTCATACTCGCAACTATTGGCCGACTCAACATCGAAAGATTCAAACGTCATCCGAAGATTACATATGCGATTACTTATTCGAAGGATGGTGTAGCGACAGTCGAGGTTGTTTCGGTAATTATCGGGAAAATTTGGGCTCATGATTTCAAATTCCACCGAGGCATACAAGCGATCACAGGAAACACCTGATGGTATAAAAGGCGGGGGCGGAGGGGAAAATGCTGAAAAGGAAACCATGAGTTGTATTTTGTGGTTAGAAAAAGAAAATACGTGGTAAAAACATTTCATAAACAAAGTTTGAGAGTACAAAACTTCTAAACACTTTGACTTCCGGTAAGTTTGAGGGCTTATAACGCTAAAAATTCTGAGTTCGATCCCTATGCTAGGCACAGCGCAGATAGTTTAAAACAAACATTAAAACTTACATGTAGTATGCTAAAGCAGTACTTTTAGAGTAAACTAAAAAATTCAAGATAACAATGAGAGTAGCAGTTTTAAAGAAGGTTTGGAAAGTAAACATTACCGTGAAAGAAGTTACGTTGGATACGGGATCATGACTCAGATTTTATTCTTATTTCTACTCTTTCTTTCTGAGAAATATTTATGTAACAATGAAAACACTAGGAACATTATTTTAAAAGCTTAAGAGCACGTTGATTTTGCAGTTTTAATGTTTTATAATTTCATTTTATTTTTAACCTTTTATTCCCAGGTGTCATCTATTGGAATTCATTGTTATTTGTATTGTTACGCAAATGAATCCCAACATTATTGCACATTTGACACTGGAAAAGAACGTTTTTCATGACGCAGGAACGATCACGTTATCTCAACAATGACTTGATTAATTGAGAAAGCAAAAGAAGTTTACTAATTATTAGTTATGATTCGGACAAACGAATAAGGTAATAACCGAGAAAACGGTCACTTACTACTATTATGGCACTCTGATGCAATAAGCTAAAACATTAAATTAAACATTCTCAGAATTTGATGTTAAACCCTAAATAAAGCTATTTACAAGAATACTCGAGCAAATATATATACACGAGTAAGAAATGACAGAGGATCATGGATTTCAACAACTATTGATTATGGCGCCTCTAGTGACAAGATAAGGTACTAAATTTTGTGTTGATCAACAACTACTGATTATGGCGCCTCTAATGACAAGATAAGGTACTAAATTTTGTGTTGATCAACAACTACAGATTATATCACCGCTAGTGACAAGATAAGGTACTAAATTTTGTGTTGAAAAACAACTACTGATTATGGCTCCTCTAGTGGCTAGATAATGTACTAAATGTTATGTTGAACAACAACTACTGATTATGGCGCCTTTAGTGACAAGATAAGGTACTTTTTTTACTCAAGTTTTACATTCTTACATGGAATTTAGAAAATTTGTATGATACAAAGGTTTCATGTGTTACTTTTTTTTCCAGAAATAATAGTGTGTGGTTATACTCAACTAGATGTATTAATTCCACATATGCTACATTATAACTATCACTATGCTTTTGGTGTTAATGGTTTGTTTTTTATGATTTAGAAAATGTATGTTGTGATTTGAGAGACGTGACTATGTTGAAATAGATAGTCAAGAGGTGTAAAAGCTTTTGTATTTCAGTTTTTCTATGCTAACGCTATCTCATGCGAACGTCTGTAAATGGAATTCCTGGACGGTTTGAAAAGCCAATTTTTAGAGAAAAACAAAAACCAAGTGAAAAGCATTCAAACAAGCTGTGTGTTTAATATTAGACGTCAGTTAAAGGTTTTGAAGGAAAAACTTTTGTAAAGAAATATTACATGTTCAAAGACTATACGTACGTCTGTCTCCAGAGCAAGAAACTTGGCGGTAGGTGGCTTTGAATCCTCGATCTTCGAACTTGTCATCTGTGAAAAACCTGACAATAGCTTGATCGCGTCCTCCGGAAATTTTTAATGTTTCTGTAATTATAAACCATTTAAATGTTTAGAAAAAGGAAAAATATCTGTACAGATGTAAGAAAATATTACTATTCATATATGATTGATTTCCAAGAATACAACAAGATAAACAGAAGTCATATATATATATATATATATTTATATATACACAGAAAAACACACACACACGTACATATATGTCAGCGTTCCTCAACGTACATATACAATCAGATGAATGACATATAAATAAAAAAACAAAAACAGACAAACTTATCTGTGTTTTTATTATTGTTTGTTTGTAATTAAGCACAAAGCTACACAATTGGCTATCTGTGCTCTGCCCACCACGGGTATCGAAACCGGATTCTAGCGTTGTAATTCCGCAGACATACCGCTGTGCCACTGGGGGACTACATAACAGGTAAAATGTTTATTTTTATTGAGTGGTTTATGGTTTATACCAGTATTCACTACGTATGGAGATACTCAGTGAACTGATAGAAAAGAAAGCAGCACAAAGTATTCAGTTTGGTTAATAAAAACACGCCCCCCCCAGTGGCACAGCGGTATGTCTGCGGACTTACAACGCTAGAATCCGGGTTTCGATACCCGTGGTGGGCAGAGCACAGATAGCCCATTGTGTAGCTTTGTGCTTAATTACAAACAAACAAACAAAACCTGTTATGTAATATTTCTGTAATATTTTCTATTTAAAGTAACCATTTCTGTGTATATTTACTCAAAAAAGTGCGTAAATACATTTGTAGTTATATCATTGTTTGGAATCTACTTAATATGACACTTTAAACGTCAACATCTGGGTCTCAGAATGTAGCCACAACTTAATATGTACAAATTAAACAGTGTAACACAAGCGTAATCATACTTGTCTGTCCAATTAGCTGCCTCCCGCAGTAACGCTGTTCGTTTATTTCAAGATAGTCTTCTTCGCAGAGACCTCTGGAGGATTGTAGTTGAAAGTCTGAGAACTTGAGCACCACATGACAATACCCTGGTCGTGGTCTGAAGTAGTATGTACACACAAGATTTCTGGGGTAGTTTCTAGGGTACCCATGACTCTGCACGACTCCTTCAAGAGCGTCATAGGTCTTGTCACATGATTCTCCTAAACCAAGTAGAAGGTCATATTGTTAATAAAACAAAACATGACCCAGACATTTTAGTGGAGTCAAATGTTTAGCATGGGCGGCGCGTATAAAAGGCTTGAGTAAGCTTAGCCTCCCTATGTGGATGAAAAGAGATAATTCATCTCTGACCTTTCCAGGAGCAACCCCCCTTTGAACACCTGTCATTGGAGAAACAAGTAGCCTTCTCAAATAAGATGTTCCTTACTGAGCGAGCTCGACTCGCAATCTGAAGGTCGCGGGTTCGAATCCCCGTCCCACCAAACATGCTCGCCCTTTCAGCCATGGGGTGTTATAATGTGACGGTCAATCCCACTATTCGTTGGTAAAAATAGTAGCCCAAGAGTTGGCGGTGGGTGGTGATGATGAGCTGCCTTCCCTATAGTCTTTCACTGCTAAATTAGGGACGGCTAGCGCCGATAGCCCTCGTGTAGCTTTGCGCGAAATTCAAAAACAAACAAACAAACAAACCTTACTGAGCATTATCCTCACCAACTCAAAAATATTATACAATATATGTGATAGAATAGCCTACCCAAGCAAAAGACTCACTCACCACCTATGCTATTTAGTTAAAAGTTAAATTTCTAGATGTTAACGGATGTCATATCCGAGAAAAGTAACTCTGTGTGAAGACTGCGCATGCTCAGAGGTGATTTTAACGATCATGACCGAAGGTTTGGTTGTTTGTTTTAGAATTTTCGAATTTTGAGCTGATAAGCTAGTGGAAATATAGCTAGTCAACGGGACCCATCAACTACTGTCCAACCGATTAGTGGGAGTTGACCATCACTCTTATTGTGCACCCACAGCTCCAAAGTGGAAGCGCGTGGGGATGGGAATCATTAACTCTCTGATTCACAGTCCAAGAACGCTAAGATTTAGGCCACTCCCGGGCCATAACACCATAGATTCTCCCCTTTGCAAACATACTCTAAACAAGGAAATTTTGATACAGGGATATCAATGTGAGAAATTATTTGTAAATAACAGTGAGCTGTGTTTATAAGTAACGTAAATAAAACTTTCGAAATATTGTGTATTGTTACTTGCGTTAATAAATTCAGTTGAATATGAAACAATATATAAATTAAATAAAAAAGAACGCATAGAACAAATTCTTGTAAGAACGAATATTGAAAATTTAAGCCCTAAAACAAAAAACTCCACAATAAAATCTATTCCCATAACAATGAATATTTGATTATTTAAAAGGAAATGAGATGGGACGAAAAAGAATCTATCGTCTGCTTTTATTCATCTGAAATAAGAAATTTACTGTCTAACCTATCTGACATGCCATTAAGGAAATGGTATGGCCTAATGTTTAGCCTTAATATTGATAAGTCATCAACCATAACTTTAATAATAGACTTGTTGCCAGAAGGAAAACGACTCAAAGGACAAACAACCTGTAGCCTAACTCAATAGAAATTCAGTAGAAAAGTAAAGGAGGAAACAAGGCATTTTTCATCTCACTATTTTTGTTTTTAAACTTGAACAATTACATGAAATGCAGTTAGAGGGTTGAGTAACCTATCGTATTAATTAAGTAATCTATAAGCTAACCCTAACTGTACCTGAACGTGTAGAAGAAACTATAAAACAGTTAGGAGACCACAAAATTACCTGAATATTCAATGAAAAACAACTGTAAGTACAAAAAAAACAAAAAAAAACGTGACACTTAAACCTAACTTTACCTGAATTTCCTGGTGGAAAACGGTCAGTGGAACAAGGAACTTGTCTAGCACGAATATGGAATCCTTGCCGAGTGGTGGCTGAGTCCGAGTGAAACTCAATAACTTTCTTCGAAGTTTCGAAATCCAAGATTCCTAGTGACAAAGCAAAGGATTTTGTATTTATGATGTAATATGGTTGATAAAATATTTTAACAGTAAGTATGCATAAGCAGAAAAATCTATAGAACATTTAAAACATGTAAATAAAATAAAGCAATAACGTTAAATGCTCTAAATATTTTGTTTATTCACAGGTACACCCCTCAATTTTCTTTATAAAGTGAATCTAAGATTAATCTTGCTGAAATTCCAAAATAGGCACCAGTGTAACATGTATAAGATGGGTCGTAACTGAACTAATCACCAGAAGATGCATCACGAAACATGGAAGCTGGCAATCAGACTGGATCTCCGTCGACATCTAGTCCGCCTTGACAGTTCAACTAGATCCTGAGTGTTAATATTTGCTGATATTCTGTGTAAAACAGAGACTCTAGCAAAACTGAAAGCAAAAAGCACCTTTTTAAAAACCATATTGGACAGGCATCTGTCATGATAGCCACAGATGGTTCTTACACCAAAGACAGCGAGAAAGCTGGTTGGACATTCATCATCTCATGGAACAATAGCACTCTGATAAGGCTGATGGAGCATTCAACCTTCCCACAAGCAACACAAAGATGAAGATGAAAGCCACAAAGAAAGCCCTTCTCTGGATTGAAAGCAATAAACCACTTATAGACAGTACCACCAACATGATACCTTTGACTGACTCGCAGGAAGTACTGCGTAAACTTCAGAGTGGTTGGTCCCCAGATGGAAGGCTGAAAGCAGATCAACTTCAAGGTAAGACCATCACTTCGTACAAATAGAGTAAAGCTAAACAAAGATTGTGACAAAACTGCAAGAGGAAAGCGTTTATTAAATACAAAACAAATCTGTTGCCAATCCCACTATTCGTTGGTAAAAGAGTAGCCCAAGAATTGGCGGTGGGTGGTGATGACT